GGGCTATCTCGTGCCAATGTAAACCACTACATATTACGTAGAAGGTGTAGTCATAGTCGAATATCAGTAGATGTATGAATGTAATTACGTCTTGTCTAGAGAAAAGGACACCATTGCCTTCGACTGCTCTTAATATGGACGGACACAATTCTGATCCACCACCATATATCTTACGAGTATGCTCGACTGACTCAGAAATCGGTATCTGCAGCAGCAGCATCCTCCTTGATGATGTCAGAGATACGTTCCGCAATACCGTAGAGATTAGCTGTAGGATGGCCACCGATCTGCAGAGGTTGAATGGAGGAGTCAACCACGCGCACATTACTAGTACCGTAGACCTTCAATCGGCTGTCGACAACTCCACCCATAGAGCGGGGCAACATAGACGTGGTTCCGATGACATGATAGTTTGGCGTATCTAACGACAAGTTCAGAGGTTAGAACCTCAAATGAGGGAGAGGGACGGGTTTACTTACATTGTTCTCCTATCCATTTCTTCCAGGTCTCGTCCGAGGCATCCTGCGGAACGTCCGTAAACCCAGGCAGAGTCTCATTGCTGATTAGACCATCGAAGTCGCCACTCTTGAACATTCGGCGCAGGAATTTGGACATAGCGATTTGTATCTGGACGTCCCACTCGAGAAGGCCGAAGTTTGGGTTCACTACCGGTGGCTCCATGGGGTCGGCGGAGCTGATATGAACGCTTCCTCGCGCAAACGGGAGAAGGCCCCAGTAGCCAGTATGGATAGTATTGGCGTCCTCCAATATAAAGACAAATTCAGCAGATGGAACATCCTTGGCGAACACAAGGTCGTGCTGCACCTCGAACATCTTGAGCAGGTCCTCTTTTCTCATAGCACCATTGCTGCCCCTAGCGGTAACATCGGCATATTCCTCGAGTTGTGAACGAACTGAGTCAGCCACTGACTGCGCTGATGACCCGAAGATGTCGGACACCGAGGCGAAAGCCACCGTTCTTGTTCCCGTTACTGGCGTTTCGGTAGACACAACGATGGAGGTATTCAGTTGATCTTGCAGGTTTTCGCCAACGCTTGGTAGATTGACCTCCACTGGAATCCCATATTTTTCTAATATTCTGTTGGGGGTGTCAGAAGTCCGCGAAATAACACTGGGAAGAGAAATGTTACCTAGGATTTCCGACACCAGAAAGCTCTAGAATTGCAGGTGATCGCATCGCACCCGCTGCGAGGATGACTTCCTTTCGGGCATTAATAACACTCTTTTGTTGTCCATTTCCATCCTGGGTGATGATCTCGACTCCTCGGGCACGAATATCGCTGCCCTTTCCCCCATTCTGCCATACGATCCGGGTGACGAACGTATTCAGTTCGACCTGCAGATTCTGTCTCTCAGCATAGGGCCAATAGTATGCTCTGGCCGCATCACTGCGGATATTCGTCACGTCAACCGTATAAGGATGAAGGGCGAAGCCTCGCATATGTCCGGAATTCAAGTCCTGATTCCATGGAATGCCCAGTAATTCCAACGTGCCATTCATACTCGCTGTCAAGTCATCTTCATCCTTCCGTATATCCATGAATCCAACATTCACCGGCCCACCAGTACTGTGGAGATCAGGAGAGATGGACGCCCCGGCCTCGATTTGAGTCTGGTTGGGCGCCGTCATATTTTCACTTTTCGTAAAGTATGGAAACAGGCTATCCCAGTCCCAACCTTCGATTCCAATCTCACGCAAGGCATCAATCTGCGCTTTTTCTGCTCGGACGTAGGCAGCCCCTAGAAGCCGCTTAATTGCTTTGTCTAAAGCACACTTGGAGTCTCCTTACGTACCATTCATAACACTTGTTCCTCCGAGCGCTTTCCCCGCGCGCATCACTTGGCGACGTTTGCCAAAGCTCTGTTCCGTCGTCTCGTATGCCCAGTCGAGGGGACTGTCATATGTGTACGCAAGATTGCTGATGTCGGTCACGTTGACATTATCATAAACGGACGGTCCGGCCTCGATAACTAAAACTAAAGTCTTTGGATCTTGGGCCAGTCGGTTGGCAACAGCTAATCCGCTTGTGCCTCCGCCGACAATGATATAGTCATAATCAGAGGCTATGACTCCAACTACCAGGAGCAGAATCCAAAAGGGGAGCATATTCACAGATCTTCACCACTGGAAGTTCAGTGCTTCTGGTTCCAGATATATGTTTCGAGCATCGGATTGGGGAGGGGAAGGGAGCATAGAGACGGATTTATATTCTTTACTCATACCTGCAGCTTGGGCAGATTCTAAAACGTCATCCAGCATGCAAAGGGGAGTGTCGTGTCCTAGCGCGAAAGTTGGGGTAACTATACAGGAGCGGGGCTTGCTGGGTATTTTACCGCAAGTAGCATTTTCTATATGTAAGGGTGGTATTGCAGACTGCAAGGAGCCCGGGGGAGATCTGCATTGCCAAGACACTGACGATGAGAGGTGAGCAGCATGTCTCGGTGCAAGGCCTCGCGAGCTTGATATACATGACTATGTGAATTCTAAAAGGGAGTCTTTTTTTCTCGGGGTAAGGGACACATTTTGGTCTATTGCTAAAGTTGGCCGCATGCTAAATGGTACATATGCTCAATTGACGATATTCATCCTTCTCTATAGATTTCCTTTCTACTAAACACCATTTAGCCACATATGCTGCTCACCCTTGTGCACCCAGTGCTCGAAGTGTCGTCTGGTTGCATCTCTCCAAGAAGGCCATTGCCTCGTCCTTGTCATGCCATGCATCGTTATATGCTACACTCAAACTCAACCTGCCCTTCCATGTGCCCAAGAATAGACCAAGTCCCGTCCCTAGCTCTTCTCCGGTAACCCATGGGTTATCGAGCTGGAATGGCCCATGGGTAGGACTTATCACTTTATCAATGACACCCATGCTAGATATGGAAGCAGATGGGGTTTCATTGCGTGCCGGGACAGGCGGAGTTGCTCCATCATCGGGATATGGAATGGTAGACATCTTCCAATAAGAGGGAACAAGAAATATGTGCTCCTTGTCATCCCGTATGCCGAGGTAAAAGTCCTTTACTACCTGAGCAATACCCATGAATTCTGCTTTGTCGTTCGCTGTAGTAGACGCCACATCAGTCGTGTCCAACGACGATGTAATGTTCAAATCGATTGCCAGGGAGTTTCCTGATACAGAGTGGTATGCCGTCACCGGGTGGGCCCATGTCCTATATGGGTTCTTGCAGCGGCCACGCTCGTTGATGAGGCTGTAGTTGATATAACGAACCTTGCGCTCATCCGCGTGTCTCTCCTGCATGCCCCGGACAGTAACCGCGATTGCAGTATGGTACGCATGAGTAATACTGAGACCAGCCTCCCGACATTTATCTAGCAACTCCCTCGTCTGCTCCACAGATAGCCTGACGGCGACACGCTGATGTTTGCCTGGCTGCATCCGATCTCTGCGGAATGGCAAGCTAGCAATTTCAACGTCCTTCTTGATGGACTCCTTGGACTGAATGATATCTCGTAGTCGGTCTTGTTGATCTGGCCTTAAATCCTTGGGTATCCCGGCAGCCACACGGAGTGGCGGGCTCAAATTCGCCCATTCCCCACCAAAGGAGGGAGAGGTATAGCTCTCTCCCAACTTATAGATTTCAGCAGCATGTGCGAATAAATTGTTGAAGAGCATCAATGTACCCATTCCATCAATAATGTCATGATGAGCTCGAAGAACAACATCCGCTCGAAAGGCCCCATCAGCTGAGGATGGCTGTTTGATCAGAAATAATGTCGGCAATTCCGGGACGGGCGGATCCGAATTACACCAGTCAAGGCCTGATGCGCCGGTTGACAGGACTTGAAATGTCTCTTTCAACCAATCCTCCTGAGGGGACGCTTCGGTGAACGTCTCATATATCTTTCTACACTTTTTTCCGTGCACGTCATGTTCCACTCGCGATGCGATTGTGGGATGATCGTACCGTAGTCGAAGCCAGGCCTTTCGTAGAGCTTCCTCTGCTCTATTTTCGGTGGGGTGGCTTGATGAAAGACCATCTGCAGGAACACAAACAGAGATGAAGCCTGTCATGGCAAAGAACGTTCTGCCGGTACCTTCATACGCCTTTGCCAGTGATGTGTAGAATTGCTCCGCCTCGTCAACGTCACGCTCCCATCGACCAGGCTTGCTCTCACTCCATTCGAAGCCATTTGGTATGGATGCCATTTCGGTCGTGGGCGCGCGCAGGTTGGTATGTGCAGGGAAGGGGCTAGTGAGGTGGTAGGGTTGATTTTCGCTGCGGGTTCAGCTATAGCTAGGCGGGCAACGTCGTTTTGAGTTCAGAGTTACCTGCGCAGGAATATCGGTCCGATCTTCCGTGCATAGTAACTATATGCAGAAGGATTGAGTAATGGATTGTCGATGCAACGACGTACTGCGGAGGAGTGTTTATGATGATGTTGGTTGTACGTTCATTGGCTGACGGCTAAACTTCGGGGTTGAGAGACATTCTTGATTTGGTTAAATAGCCAGCAGCCAGGGTCAACAACGCCAAGAACCTCACGTACAATCTCCACCTTCTATGCGGGGCGATGGCCTTTCTAAAATCATGATTGATTTGAACGAGAATTAAGGAAGTTCATAGAGAAAGTATGTATTCATGTATACCCCCCATGAAAACTGATTTACATTGCAACATGTTTCTTCGTTCGCTTGATGACTATTATATATACAGCAAGCACTGTTGACTGTCAAGTGCTGGTCTAACATATTTTACAAACAGCCTTTGGATTATTCTTCAACCGGAGTGGCCCTTGCTTTGACTTCACAATGCATAACCTCCAGAGTGATGCTCCTATTTTCACTCGACCGAAGCCATGGTAATAATGATAATGTTTGTTGAGGCCTTAGGCCTCGTGGTCACATGGTTAGGCAGTGACTACATGTCGGTGGGCGCCAACTGACCGGGTGCTTTCTTTCTCGCCTTCCTGCTCCCCAGTCCCATAGTTTGACTCGCTGTCAGCACTGAACGCGATGGTAACCAGGGGACTTTGGAACTTACATGTCGATGGTATGGATTTCCCGTCACTGACTAACACTGCTAACACCGTTGTAGGGAAATGGTATCGTTGGTTCCACCCTCCCCGTGGACAATCCTCATCCCCAGACTCACCAACAACTCTGAAAACTCTTAACCAAATTCTTTCAAAAACCGACAAATTCAAATGGGAAAGTGTCCCATTTCCGACACCACTTCATTTTCAACTCGACTATGTTTATACCATTGATGAAGATGCTGGTCATTTCACGGTCACTCAGTGGAAAACGGTGAACCAAGTTCTACACCGGATCACCCGAAAGGCGACATTGGCCAGTATCCGAGAGACATCGCACAGTACAGTAGACACACTCCTCAATGATGTAGGGGGGCTCTCTAAGCACAATGATCCCTCGCTAAGTGACATACGTGATAAAACCAATGTTCAACATCTATTGAAGTCATTCGGAATCAAACCCAGCATTCCCACACGGTTAAATGAGCTACAATTCCAACTGTTTACGGACTTTGTTTTCACATGGCGGTTTTATTTCGATGACACTTCTACCTGGGAGCACTCGTCCTCTCTTTTCTCTGCCCTTGCTATCGGGATCTTACGTATCGCAGCATGGGACCTTGAGGTCAGGAATATGGATACTGAGGAACTACCGATCACATTTTCATCCCTTCCGCGATGGAAGGCGCCCATCAACGAGATATTCTGGTTCCATAAATATCTTATCGTGTGCTGCCACACCGATCAAATTGGCACTTTTGTGGCCACAAAAGCACAAGTTTTTGCCCGCAGTACTAACCACAAAGGGCCTGTTCATGGAATAGCCATTTCCATACGGCATGTCGTGCTTTTTGAGATTTTCAATGGCAACGTACTCTATTCAACCCCTATTCCACTTGTTACCAATACTTCAGCACTGTGTTGCTCCCCAGGGTTCAGGATAATGGCATATATCTTCACTTCGAATCGCTGGAAGGGGGTTGCAGTGAACCCCAGAGAGTATTGGGGTGTCACAATACCAACGGAGCTTTTCGAGAATATCCTTGCAACAACCATGCCAAGAGATTTGGTCTCCATGGCTCAGGCATCTGATTTGGTTGAAAAATGGTATTACTCTTCCATTCCCCAAATTCACGATCTCAAGCTACAAAGTTTCGCCCTCTCCATACCGTGTTGTGGCAAGCGAAATACATCAGATGCCACTGGGGTTTACTGTTCAGTCTGCTATGCTTGGTCACATCTGGAATGTACCGATCTGTCTAGTGTGCCTTTTGCCACCGATAAGCTTAAATGTTCTGATTGTCAAGAGAGCAGACCTTGTACTTCTCTTGACACAGGCGGTATTCACCAATTCTATCGTGCAAAGCGAGGGCGGAAAGCTTGCAATGTGATTCATGGCGGCAAAACTACGAATCTTCGGTTGCGAGTATCCAAGCCATCCTCTCGCCGGCCCGAATTATGGCTCATCCGAACCCACGGCCCACCTCCTCCACAGAGCGTCGATTATACGATATTCTTCAGTGAGACATTTTCTGGTCTCGTGTACGGATTTGATGAGTAGCACGGTTTCTGAGATAATGCAAACAAACTCAAACACTACTTCGAAAACCATACTCCAACGCTTGCCTTTAATGAACGATTTAACTTGGCGCACGTTGTGTTCAGTGATTCCTCGGGGTCTCGGTTTGAAGCATATGCATCAGCATATCAACAATTGCAAGACTGTGAGTTCGCACATGGAACTTGTTTCTTCGAGTCTGAGAGGTGGACCCGTGGGAATCAGCCAGTGATTCTCGGGAAGATACTGGCGGTACTCATAGAACAGGACATTACGACCGTGAAGGTTGATTGCCCAGCATCGCCCAAACTCCGTGTTTGACTACTCAGGGGCATTTTCAGCCTAGCTCATAGCGGCGCCTAAATCATCTCCTGTCATCTTTGCCTCAGTCGCAGCATGATCAAGGACACGTCGGTCGCCTGGCTACCATCGGTGCAGCTAAGGAACGACGAGGTCTGCGAAATTGTTGTTTCTCGTTTGCCCCGGCGCAATAATTCACCCATTGACAAGGGGAAAGTAGTAGCTGCCTCTCAGCGCTGTCGTCCGGGTTGCTCGAGCCTCCAGCTGTCCAGTTCGCACTGCTATATATTTCTTCTGAATTAATTCTCCGGTACATACGACCACAGGGTGTGGAGAACAGGGCTTCCCGTCCGCTCAGCCGTACTTAAGCCACATGTTGAACGCGGCCGACTGGAATATGTGTCCTTTGGAGGTTGCTGCTTTATGGGTGAGCGCCGCTAGGTCGCAGGGTGAGTGTGGGTGATTTGGGTGATGTTGTCGAGAGCGCGGGTGAGCTGGGTGAGCTTGGTGAGCCAGTGGGTGAGCTAGACAACCCGGTGGGGTTTTTTGTGAAGTTAAATAGGGGCGCTCGACCTGGTTGTCCTTCAGTTTTTTCCCCCTTCAAGATACTCGTTCTCAAGAAACGGTTCAATGTGTGATCCTATACAGAAATCAACTATGTCACGTGATAAATCCTCACTATCCGAAGAGGAAAGGTGCAGAAAGGTTGATGAGCTCTGTAAGCTTGGTAAATTATGTGGTTTTATCAGAGAGTATCAGCAAGATATAAAAAAGAAAGAGAATGAGATATGCTATAAAAAGAGAGCTCCAGCTACCGATAAAAGATATAGCAGAGCTGTTAAAAATTAGAAAATGTAAGTGGTCAAAATATTCTACTATTTATCTAAGAGATATTCCTGATTCAAGTCTAGATAGATGATAATTCAAAATGAATCTGAAGATAGGTATTTCTTAAAGCTGGAGTCTAATCTCTCTAGTCAGATCTTGAAACTCTTTTCTGAGAGTTTTATCTGTCTACGTGAAGAGGATGTGCTATCTTAATATAGTGTGGACTATAATTTATTCTGTTTTATTGCTGAATGGGAGAGGAAAATCTCTAGAGTTATTTCTAAGGCTATCAAGAGCGATATCTATAATATATGTTAGGAATATTTTACTCCCTCTCTGATATTTAAATATTTACTTATCTATTTTTCAAGTATATTTATAATATATTGATACCGAAGTATAGACTCGAAATAAAGTACAGAGAAAAATTCTATGTTATAGTAACAGATCTTGATCTTCTTTTTAAATACTTATTTCAGGATGATGATTATGACTATATTTATGAAAGGGCTCGCTTTCAAGATGTTTTTGTTTTTTTACTGTTTTCGGCTTCTGGAGCAAGAGTCGGGGCTATTGTTGAGTCAAGTTTATATAGGAATACTAATAAATGTCTTTACTATAAGGTATGTCTGCTGACTATATGAATTCTGTGCGAGAAATTAACTGCTTTTATAAAAAGTATATTATCTTTAATATTTAATATAAGGACAACAAAATCAAGCGATGGGTTACTATAGATCTAGAATTTGTTAAAGGTTATTGATATAGCGATGAAGCAGTTATGTAAGTTTCTATTTTAAGATATTATTGCTATATAAGCTGATAAATTTAGTTTGAAAAACTGGATTATAGAATAAAAGGTGTTTGGCAGGAACTTTGTTTTCTATGTTATGGTTGTAGGTATAGCCGATCAAGCTTTTAAAGATATCTGTAGTATTGATGACTTGCTGTCAAAGATCCTATCTAAGGGAAGGGAATCTTGGATGCTAGAATGGGAGGATTATGTATAAGAGCTACCGGTTCTTTGTATGGTTATTTTAAATGGGTTATATTCTACTCGTGCCCTGATATTTTCCTTAATCCGGAATAATTTAAGTTCTCTTGTCCAGCGAGAATATTTTCGAGATCTGTTGAGAATTTATGGGATAAGAGGCCGGGTAGTAACTACAATTGATGGTGGGTTCTCTCCCTGTGTACAATATTGTATTATACTAATTATATTACAGTAAATAAATCTTAGGCTATCCGCAGCCAGGTATTAGATTATGTAAACCTGGATATTTACCTTAAATACTAATCGAAGTTCAAATGTACCGATATCCAAGTCTACTTTTGGAATATAGAGCCTGACTATGAATATCTTGATATAGAAGAAAGTATGGTCTACTACTGCGATTCTAATGTTTCCTAGAAGCTTGACGCTGCTGCTGTTGCTGAGTTTGAAAATAATAAAGAGATAAGAGGTTTATATACAGAGATTGAGATCTTGATAAAGAAGATTAATAGGAAGCTAAATAAATATCAGAATTTTATATATAAATATAAGAAACTATATAATAGAGTAGTCAAGAAGTACTGTAGTAAGACTAAAGAGTTTATTTAGTATTGGTGGAAAAATTTGTATAATAAATATATTGCAGGAAAGGATTTTATAGAGTATGATTTAATATGTCTATTTTTAATCTACTGTAAATATATACTAGAGCGAGATCGGCTACGAGATTACTTATTTACTGAAGTAATAATTAATAGCGAAACTGGAAGATAGTGTATGCTAGATATAATAGCTATTTATATATTAGAGAAGAGAGTGATATACTATTCTGATAAATTATCGGTCAACGGAAGATACTCTATATACTTGAAAAATATATTAAGATTTATTATTGACTCTTCTATTAATATTGAGATACTAATTTTTTTAGTATTGAGATATAAAGTTGCTCCAAGTATATTCTCTAATATAAAAGAAAATCTCTTAATACTGTATTATATCAACAACTATATAAAAATAGAAAGAGAGCCTATTGTTGTACTGATCAGGTGTTTTTGGAATAGTATTTTTTATATATCAAGTAGTTCTACAGTAAGACTGACTGGTAGGAGTATTGTTGCTTCTATTTGAAGAATTCTCAGCTGTGTTATAATCTATTAAGATTTTGTTATATATTGATATTATCTGGATTTTATCCTTTTTGTCTGGATAATTAGAGTATACTGCCCGAGTATCAATTCAGATAATAGTATAAAAAAGCTATACTAATCAATTATATCGATATTGAATATTTAGTAAAAATAAACAAGAAAAAGCTAATTCTATGTCCTTATCTATATTGTAAGGGTAAGATATATCTCTCGACTTTAGATCTTCGATGATATTTTTATAATATCTACTCAATTGAAGAGCCACGTCGCAACTGTATTTTCCGGAAAAGGAAATAGATATATAACTCTGGAATTGACGAGGAATAAAAGATAAAAAAAATATTACTGGACCAGAATAAGACAAAGACTATTTTCTCAGATAATCTGTAAGAACCTTGCACTATATTGCCCACTGCTAAAATTAATTGTTAACAGCCCCCACGAAGAGCGATCTTGCAGAATAGGGGTGTTATAATTCAGAGATCGTGTCATGACAAGTATATAGGCAATGAAAGATACACATTGACCTTGCACAATAAAGTAGTGATATTCAAGACTACTGTACTCAGGTACGGCAGTCACAGGGCACCGATCCAGTCGTCGCAGACGCCCCAGCCAGAATACTTATTGCAGAGACTGTCGAAAATCTTTTAGCAACAGGCGTAATCTTCGGCAACATTACACAGAAAGACATCATTGGTGTACTGACTGAAAATTTCTCGTCACTTCAGAAGACTCGAAGACACCGCTCAGCTTATCATGATAGCTATAAAAGAGAGGTATCAATAAAATGTCTGAAACAGTGTTTCTTATTTTTGTACTGTACATAAAAGGAAGAACGGACACTGTTCTTCGTTTTAAGGTTTTTTTGAGGTAGCAGGTAGATAAGTTTCGCGTATTGCACTGGATAACATATTGAGGAGCGATTTGATTCCCTTAGGAACAATGATCCTTGTCTATATATAAGCAAACCGAATAATTCTAAAGTATCGCACCACCAGAATTAATGAGAAGTCCATCTTCCAAGCATACATTAGATCGAAGTAACGATTCCTGAAACCATAGGTTGCTTGCACTTAACTCGAGGTCGCACAAACAACACACTTACCCGAACGGTATCAGTGAATTCACCCTCTTTACTTCCAGGGATTTGGATAGATACTGTAAGATAGAATTTGCGCCCTTCAACTTTCTCTAACCACACACACAGACAGATCGGAATATCCGGTGGAACAGAGAACGCAAAGAATATATTGAGGTATACTGTGACCGCCGGCCGGCAGCAATCTGCAAAAATACGGTCTAGGAGCAGGGTAAGATATCTACCAAATATCTTCCCATTATAGTAATATATCTGCTGCCGCGGGGCCAATTTTATATTAGTCTCTGCTTCTATCCCCAGAGGATGGCGCCTGAAGATAGGATAATAACCTTAAAGCAGAGAATGTAGTAGTTCTTGTGAAGACTCTGTCGGTAATTTCTATTGAGATATCGCTAAATCAGTATTGAACACGGTTGTAGTTTTGGTAGCAAACATACAAGTACTCTCTTTGATATACTTTGCACTCCTTTATATACAAGGCTATTCTGGGAAGATAAAGCTTGGTATCTGCGTACTGTCTGATATGTCACCTGAGCTGTAAAGTGTCGAGACATGCTGTGAGTCTTGGTAGCTAAGGCGTAATAGAACAAAGCAGCCCTTTAAAGAAAAGATGTCGGAGAGGATGTAC